GGAAAGCTGTTTATTGTGTGTAATGTGTTGGAATTATCCAATAATGGTTTGAAGAGTAATTAGGACGTATGCTTAGCCAAGAAGGGTTTTTTTCTCCTATTTTGTTTCTATTTGTTTTTGGTGAGGAGAACTTCCGATCTGCTTAACTTCCGATCAGCTCGAACCCAGATCAGGTTCCTCACGACGAGGAACCCAGAGTTGAGTTTCTCATGGGTTCCTCCGGAGGAACCCAGCTCGAACCCGATCTGGGTTCCTCACGACGAGGAACCCCCCTAATTTTTTTTTTTTTTTGGTGGGGGACGTAGGGACAAGCTGGGAAAAGTCCTATGCAGTGGGTTCCATTGCACACGTGCTATCCACGTGTGCAAAAAAAGCCACATCATCAAAAAGCAGATCCACATCTGAACCTAACGAATAAGGAAACGCCGCATGTGCCACATCAATTTTTGAGTGCCACATAGTGCATTTTTTAACGGTGCCGTGACAGTCCGTTAAAATATTGAGTTTTTCACGGGTTTTGAAAAGTGAAAGGTGTGAATAGGGAGAAAAAATTTTGAAAGGTGTCGACTACAGAAAAAAAATAAATGGAGGGTGTAAATAGGGGCTTTGGCCTTAATTTTAACAAAAGGAGTTTACCAGCTAGTTACGTTTTCGTGCGAAGACAATAAAGTTTTAGAAAACGTAAAAGGGTGTTGGCAATCCCTTCGGTTTAAAGACAAAATGTCAACGCATAAGTACCGAAGGTGGTTGTTTTGATTTATTAAAAGTAATAGGATAATTTTCTAATTTAGTCCCTCAATTATTATATAAAATTTTGATTTAATTTTTAAATTAAAAAAATTTTGATTTAGTCCTTACTATTAATTAATTTGACCTTAAGTTTATTTTTTTTTATTTGCGACGATACTGATGTGTTCAATCACAATGGCCTTTAGCGTGCGATGGAAGACAACAAAGGTTTTTTTTTTATTATTATTTTATGTTGATTGTATAACCAAAAGAAATAATTTTTTTCGTATCTTATTTCATTTAGCCACGTGTAACTAAAATTTAAGATATTTTAATTTTAGGTCAAAACACTTATTTGCACCCTCCATTTATTTCTTTTCCGCGGTCAACACCTTTCAAAATTTTTCCTCCCTATTCACACCCTTCACTTTTCAAAACCCGTAAAAAACTTAACATTTTAACGCGCCATCACGATACCGTTACAAAATGTATTACGTGGCACTCAAAAATTGACGTGGCCACTATGTGCCGTTAGTAATCCAACGTGGATGCCTTTTTTGATGATGTGGTTTTCTTAAATAAAAAAATTTGCTCTAGGTTCTCGAACCCAG